CGCTCGACATGTCAAAGTATGGGCTCGAGCTCGACTCGAGTTCGTGCTCGAGCCGCTCGAGCTCGAGTCCAACTTTGACTCGAGCTCGCGAGCGGCTGACTTTTTTGCAGCCCTAAGCATAGCGCATTGTAAGTGTTTTGGCACGTATTGTTTTATTAGCGATTTGACAAAATTTCAGTCGTTTGTACTCCAGTTTTGATCTATAAATTTACAGTTGCCGATAAAAAAAAAAAAAGAGAAGAAAGTGAAAAATTAGGGTTTGCATTATATTGTCTTATGCTATTTATACTACCTACTATAATACTAAAGTTGCTACAACTTTACAACTAATGTACTAATATAAAATTACGGGAAATGCTACCGTCTCGTTATATGATTATTCTGTCGGGATTTGTAACCGTTAGATCATCATATAATCGTTTGGGATAGTTGATCTAATCTAATGATTACAAATCATGATAAAATAGTTTCGTAATGAGACCGTAGCATTTCTCTAAAGTTACAAGTGTGTTTATATATTTAATATCCCATAAAGTTACAAGTGTGTTTATATATTTAATATCCCATCAATACTAGACTATACCAGTCAACGCCATCACAAACCAACCCTGAACTCTCTCAGCAAGCTTCTCATGGAGAAGATCAAGCACAGCTTCGTGGACGTCAGAGGTTTGAAGCTTCACATTGCAGAAATCGGAACAGGTCCCATTACTTTTCTCGATTTTTGTTTTTAATTTGAGAATTTCATCCATGCTACTTCAAATTTCTTCATTTCTTTGTATATATATTTTTGTAATTTGATTTTGGGGTTCAGGCCCACCGGTGGTCTTTCTTCACGGTTTTCCGGAGATTTGGTATTATGGAGGCATCAGATGACGGCAATCGCCGGCGCCGGATTTCGAGCCATAGCCCCAGATTTCAGAGGCTATGGCCTGTCCGAAAAGCCATCGGAGCCGGAAAAAACAACGTTTAGGGATCTTGTGGATGATCTTGTAGTGATGCTAGATATACTTAACATCCCAAAGGTATATGAAGAGAGAAAAAGCATCTGTCTTTTTTTTTTTTTTTTTCATTTTCTTGGAAAATTGATTGCCCTATTTGCTGAATTGTATAAAACATTCTGGTATCTTTTGGGATTTAGTACTTTAAGCCCTCCAATTCCAAGATTAGGCAGTATCAGGTCAATCCCAGATCAAATTTACTTCTGGTCAAAAGATAATACACTCTCTGATTGAACTTGCATCTGTGTTATGGTTGAAATGATATTTCAGGGCAATATCGGGATAAAAATTATGTCGAATCAGGGAGCTGGCTAGTTGATTTCCTGTTCCATTTACACTTTCTGCTTCGACCCAAACATGTACCGTCTTGCATGTGTTGAGCCTTGAGCATAAAATTTTAATATGATGTTTTTGTCAGGTCTTTCTGGTGGGGAAAGATTTCGGAGCAAGGGTCGTGCACCATTTTTCCCTTGTTCATCCAGATAGAATTTTGGCTGTTGTAACACTCGGTGTACCATTCCTTCTCGTGGATTCAAACTCACTCCAGAGACATCCCCTCCCGAATGGTTTCTACATGCTTAGATGGCAGGCAAATTACGTTTACGTTTTTTTGGCCTATCTTTTGTCTTGGTCTGATTTGGATTGAGAGTGACATGAGATTATAAATCTATCGAAACTAGGATTGACATAAAAATGTATGTCATTTGAATGTGATGAAGGATCTTGGTTGATGTGGGAAATACCTGAATTAGGTGTGTTACGATTTTGAAAGATAACTAGCTTCTGTTGTTCTTTTTCTTTTGGGGGTAATTTACCGAAATACATCCAAGGAGTCCTTAATGATGATTTAATGGATACTGAAATTGAAATGTGGTCATCAAGTATATTCAGACTACTCTTGAAGAACTCTTGTGTTTTTATGATGATTATGATAATGAAGTTTGCTTCTTTTAGTGTTGAAATTTTCCGTTCAAATTCTTACAGGAACCGGGGAGAGCTGAGAAGGACTTTGGAAGGTTTGATGTTAAGACAGTTGTGAGAAATATTTACATTATGTTCACAGACAGTGAACTCCCAGTGGCCAGCGAGGATCAAGAAATAATGGACTTGGTAGACGAATCTACCCCTTTGCCAGCTTGGTTTACCGAACAAGACCTTCAGGCATATGCAGAGTTGTATGAAAAATCTGGTTTTGAGACGGCACTGCAGGTCCCATACAGGTCCCATATAAATACTTATATCATAATAAAATTGATTTGTACGTGGTGGTTATAATTTTCAAAACCCGTTCTACTTTGTCTGGTCAAACGGGCGTTTACATTGCGAATTTCCGAATTTTCTAAGAGAGTTGAGGTTTTATTCAGGGGGTGGCTCGAAGACTATGGAGTTGATGAGCTTCAAGTTGAAGCTTCATCTCTGTTAATAATGGGAGAGAATGATTACGCTCTCAAATTCGGAGGACTTGAGGATTACATTAAAAGTGGAGCCGTCAAAAATTATGTTCCTGATTTGGAAGTGATTTCCGTGCCTCAAGGAACCCATTTTGTGCAGGAGTAGTTTCCTGATGAAGTTAACAAGCTTCTCGTCACCTTCCTCAACAAGCACGCTACAAACACATAGTTGAGAGTTTTTACTATAAATATCTGTGTTTATGGAAATGGGATATTGGTCATTTAGTAATTGCTTAAGGGTCTCCTTCGTCTTGTGTATATGCAATGGAGGCTAAATGTAGGGAGATGCTACGTTCCATTACGGAATCATTATGTCGTGGTTTGTAACCGTTACTCAACTATCCCCGTCGGTTACATGATGATCTAACGGTTACAAACCCCAATTAATGGTTCCGTAACAGGACCGTAGCATTTCTTTATAATGTAATTTATTGATATTTTCGAGTTTTGTGCTCTGTAATTTTATGTATCAATTAATCGTGTATTAGCTTTAGAGTCGTCCATATCTATTCTTCTATGAACTTTTACACTATGTTTGGTTCAACTGAGGGGAGGGGAGGGAAGGGATTTTAATGGAAGGAAAGGGAGGGGAGGAGAGGTGATGTAAAATAATTTTACCTTGTTTGGAGGGATTTTGTAGGAGGGGAATGAAGGGAAAATGGTAAACCTTGTTTGGTTAAAAAATAGAAAGGAAGAGAAAATAATGTTATAATGACAAATTTATCCTTAGTGATGTTAGAAATAAAAAACTAAAATATTATATTCAGTAAGGGTAAAATTGTAACTTTATGTACTAAAATTTTCCCTCCCCTCCAAATTCCCCAATTTTTGGAGGGGAGCAAAAATGGAGAGTAGAGGGGATTTTAAGTTAAAATTTTCCCTCCCCTCCTATCCAATTATCCCAACCAAACAAAGGAAAAATAAAAAAAGCCCTCCCCTCCCCTCCCCTCCCCTTCTTTTACCCCCAACCAAACAATATCTTAAAATTATATAACATGTGATTAACTTACATTTGAAAAAAGTAATTTATATGGTATATCAGATTTATATTATCCATCTTAAATTTCCTTTTTTCCTTTTCTCTTTTGTGTATTGTTATGGTTATTGTTAATGCTTAAGGTATATGAAAAATTCCACTTTTATATTGTTCTGTTATTAAAATCTAAAACTTAAACTAAGATATAAGAATTATTAAATGATTTACTTAGTTAATGTAACAATTTAATTATAAATGGGATAAATATTATTAAATAAGTTTTTATTTTAGTTGGTATTTGTTATAGAAAGTTTAATGACTTACTAGTATTTTTTTTTTCCCGGAACGATAGAGGTAATATATAAAAGCACAAAAGTGCAAAAGGAACAAATTACAAGACCCCAACAGGGTAATACTAAGGCCACAGCAGGGTAATGAGACAGGGGCCAACGGCCCAAACCAAAAACACCCTAAAAACAAATCGTAATAAAAGACTGAGAGGACACGCACATGGCGGCCTAGAGAACTCCACAAACGAAAATAAAGAAGATAAAAAACAGAGCCACTGCACAATGCCTAGCCTGAATTCATCTCCAAACCAAAAAGATCCAAACCAAGAGCACAAGACACAAACAAAGACAACAAAGAAAACACAAAACAAGAACAAAATAAACAAAATTAAATAAACTAAATGCCCTTCCCCGGCGCACGAGCCAGCCTGAACCTGCAGTGAACGATTGACACAAGACAACTCCGGGCCTAGAGTCTGCTACCGAAACTGCAATCAAGCCTATACAGTAGGAGAGCCCTAACCCAAACCAGTCCCCGAATCGACCCATCAATGACCGAGAAAGTCGTGTCAACTCCACACCAATTCCACCTGAATCCATCTAACACCACTAGACGAAACCGACGGAACCACTCCCACCGCCTAGCACCACTAGGCTAAGTGAGAGATAGTGTGAAAGAACGACTCTCACTCCAGCCGCTGCAAACAAAAGCCGCAGCCACCGGAGTCCCGACCACCATACGACCAGCGCAACGCCCGACCTCTCCGCAGATACACCAACCAAAAACCCTAGCTCGTATGAAAGGGCGGAGCACCGCCGGAAAGCCAAACCAGCGGCCACAGACAAGAGGGAAAAAGAGCATACCATCACCGATCTGAGCAGCGCCGACGACGGAGGAGCTCCACCGCCGAAAACCGACCGGGGATAGCGACGACGCAAAAGCCTCTGACCGCAGACCGCAACCACGAGCTAGAGTCAGATCGCGACCCAACGACGAAATTAGGAACGCTCGCCGTCGACGGAGGTCGGGACGGACATCGACAACCCCAGGCCGAGACTAACCGACACCGAAGAAGGCTAATTCGCCGGAAATTGGAGGAAAGGCGCCGCGGATGAAGGGTTACGAGGCGCTAGTATCAATTAATCATTTTTTATGATACATCAATAAATATATATTTTTATATTTATAGTAAAGTTAAACTGTCTATCAATATTCACTGAATAATAAAATTATTTATCAATTAAATTATTTTATTCATCAAATCAATCATATAACATGAATTAAAATAATGATTAAAATACATGACGGAAGTAGGGTTGTAAACGAATCGAATCAAAGCGAATACTCAAAGATTCGATTCAGATTCGTTAAAATATTCAAAGATTCGAATTCGTATTCGATTCGTTAACGAACTCATTTTTTGATTCGTATTCGATTCGTTTAGAATATTCAAACATATTCGATTCGATTCGAAATTCGTTTAAAAAAAAAAAATATTATAATTACAAAAAATAATTTTTATTTTTCATATATTTTTAGGAAAATTTGTTAATTTATGATGTTTTTACTTTTTATGTCATAAAAATAGTAGGAATATAACAATATATATATATATATATATATATATTATAAACAAAATGTATGCTATATATAATTTATAAAATTTATATAATTATTGTTAACGAATCGAATATTCGAATTTCGAATCGAATATCTACAAATTTGAATTCGGATTCGTTTAACTTTCAAATATAAAACATTATTCGTATTCGAATTCGAATATTTCGAATCACAAATATCGAATTGAATCAAAAAAATTTGATTTGTTGACAGGCCTAGACGGAAGTCGTACAAGTGAGGTGCATTATTTTGAAATATAAATAATAAGTTATTTTTGTAGAAATATTTTGACACTCAAAATTAGAGATGTTAAACGGGCTAGCTCTAGCGGTTTCGGGCTAGACAATCCAGGCCTAAAAAGCCCAGATTTAAACGGGCTACCAATAAAGGGACATAACCCTAACCCTAGCGGGATTCGGGTTAAACAGGCTATGTGGGCTATAATAATAATAATAACAATAATAATAATAATAATAATAATAATAATAATAATAATAATAATAACATCTAGTTAACGATTGTTTTCAATGGCTATTTAATATTTATCTCACTATATATACAACTACACATCATATATGAACACAATTACAAACTCTTAAATAATACATTTTTTTTCTCAAAACAAAAAAATATTCTTACTATTACCATTTTACCACTTATTTTGTACGCTTTAAAATTTTTCACTATAAATTATATCACTATGTTTCATTTGTTTCCTATTAGTCATTCTCATTTGCTTAAATATTTTTGGTGTGAAGTAGAATAACAATATTGTTAATAATTATCTTTCAAGATCATAATAATTACAACTCATACTTACATGACAAGTGGAATAGCAAAAATTGTAATATACAAGAAATCTAAGAGCATATTACTTTTTTTTTTTTTTTTTTCCGAAATCTAAGAGCATATTACTTACTTGATGCTAGTATTTACACCGCCCAATCCTAGTTAAACGGGCCAGCCCTAGCGGGTTTCGGGCTAAACAGTCCGGGCCTAAAAAGCCCTGATTTAAACGGGCTACTCATAAAGGACCCTAACCCTGTTTTTTCGGGCTAAACGGGCCGGCCCAAATCAAGTACACTTATTATTATTTTTAAATAGTAATTAATTATATATGATACGAAATAGTAAAAAATGATAAATAGTTATAAATGAACTAGTGCGTGGCCCGTGCGATGAATGGGAAAATAATATTACGATTGCATTATAAATTAAATATACAAATAAATTAATCAAGATTTACCCATTGTTTCTAAATTAAACCGTGTTGGACAAAATCCGACCGGATGGACTGAGAACATGTTTATAATCAGTCTAGTTCACTTGAATAAAATATTTTGCTATTGAATCAACACCAGTCGGTTGAACTGGTTGGATCGATACAATTTTCTAAATAAATTTGGTTATATTTAAAATTATTTTAAATAAAATTAGATATTTAAATAAAATAGAAATTTATAAATTGTTTATCAATTAATTTAAACATTTAAATTTTTAAATTGTTTAGATATTTAAGTAACACATTTTATTCAAAATTATTACAAAAATTAAAACGTATATTTAAAGAAAAAAATAAATTGCATGATTTTTATAAATTAAATTGTATGATTATATTAAAGCGTATTTATAAATTAAATTGTATGTTTTTTAAAGGAAAAAAATGAGAAAATAATAAAACTATTATTTATGGATAGCATTAAATGCTGACATATTTTTCTGCTACTAATTTTAGTAAATATGATGACTCTTTATATAAGTATAGATATTAAAATTTATACATACACTGATACACAATAATAATTAATAATAATTATACTTTAATAAAAAATAAATGAAAAAAATATAAATAGATAAAACCTACTCTTTCGGTCTTTCCTTTCCCCATCTCCCAACTCTTCTTCCTAAAACCCTCCTTTCATGGCTAAATGCTGAATGAAATCTGCGAAATTCAAACCTTCACCTTAGCGATGTCGACGACACTCTCAGCTCTCCACTGCAAAACCCCCATAAAGCTCTTCTCACCAAACATTTCCCCTCGAATTAACCACAGTAGCCACTCATTATCACTCGCCCCCTCTCTCACACCAGCAAACGCGAACCATCTGAAGAGGATAAGAAACCCCCAAAATTTGTACGGGCCATTCAAAGAACATTTTTTTGAATTTCAGGTGGTAAAATCTAGTCGATTTGCAGCGAAGGCACAATATGGAACTGAATCCAGCGGTAACACGGAGAAAGAAGAAGTCCAGTATGTTGGGGAGAGCAGTATGCCTGAAAGATTTAGATATTTGACTAAAGAAGTTCCTGCTAAGCCTCTTCGGTGGCCTTGGTTCATTGGTTAGCTTCAATTTTTCTTCTTGTTCCTCTTCTTTTATGCTTTATTTTTTTTTTT